ACACAAATATGGAGGGAGATTGAGAGTCAAAATCAGCGCCCACAACTTCTGGAGCCTAATGGTGGAACATCTTTCTTCATAACATGCTTCAACGACATAAATGCATTATCAGGTTAATGCCATTATTTTTAAGAAAGAAGTAGTACTTGGTTTCTTGTATGAATATTTGGAATTTATTTTTACTATGATTACTTTTTTCCCCTTTTGACAATGTTGTCTGTGTATTAGACTGAAACTCTTTTTTTTTCTTACATCCTTTTATAAGTGTTGGACTGACAAGAGTGGGTTGTTCTAGTGGTGAGCACCCTCCACTCCCAACCAAGAGGTTGTGAGTTCGAGTCATCCCAATAGCAAGGTGGGGAGTTCTCGGAGGGAGGGAGCCGAGGGTCTATCGAAAACGACCTTTCTACCACAGGGTAGGGGTAAGGTCTGCATACACACAACCCTCCCCAGATCCCACTAGTGGGATTATACTAGGTTGTTATTTCATAAGTGTTGGACTGCTATCCATTCCCTATGCACTCTCGCATGGAGGATGGTTGAGTTTAATAGTTCTTTTCTCGGTAGCAACCGTATGTTGTTATACGGGATTTCTGTTACAAAAGTGCATGAATGTTGCTCCAGCACTAATCATGACGTATCCGGACATTGGCCAATTAGCCTTTGGGAAAAAAAAAAGAATGATAATATCAATATTTATGTATCTTGAATTATACCTGATTGTAATTGAATTCCTCATATTTGAGGGTGATAATTTGCATAAACAATTTCCAAATTTCCATGTTGGTGGCCTTAAACTTGATGGAAGAAAATCCTTTGTCATTATAGTTGGTTTAATTATATTACCAACAACTTGGCAAAGAAACTTAGGGTTATTAGTGTATGTGTCTGTCTGTCGGAGTTATGGCCTCTGTAATTTTAGTTGCTTCAGTTTTTTGGATTGGTACCATGGATGATGAGGTTTTTGGGGAGAGAGGTATGCTTTGGAGATGGAACGGTTTGGCAACCGCATTGAGTATGTTCACATTTTGCTAGTGCGGTCATGCCGTTTTCCCAACATTGTGCAATTCTATGAGGGACTAGAGGCAATTTCCTAAAGTAAAGAGATATCTGCGTGCGGACAGTTTTCCAACACTATATTATTCTGGTCATGCAGTTTTACCTATGCTTATACCAGTTTATTTAGGAAAATTTTTAACTTATAAAGGTCCATAATGTAGTTAATTTATTTAACCCCTATGGACCTGTTCACGAGATCAAGAATTCCTATTTGTAGAGCCATAGAGTTCTCCTCTAAATTCTCTAACGAAATTACTGATAAGACTCAGCTTCAGAGATTCTTAGGAAGTCTTAACTATGTAGTAGATTTTATTCCCAATATTAGATAAATCTGTGAAATTTTATATAAAAGACTTATGAAGAATCCTGTCCCTTGGAGCCCTGAACAAACTCATTCAGTCATCCAAATTAAAGGTTTAGTTCAAACCTTCCATGCCTAGGAATTTCTAACCCAAAAGCCTTTATGGTCGTAAAAACAAATACTTCTGATATAGGTTACGGTGGAATCCTTAAACAAAGAGTGACCTTAGAGTCTCAGGAATCTGGAATTCCGCCCAAAAAAGTTATTCTACGGTTAAAAAGGAAGTCTTATCTATTTATTTAAAATGGAAAAATGAAGTCTTATCTTTAGTGCCATGTATCACAATATTTCAAGACGATCTTATTTAATGTCGTAGAATAAGATCTTATTTCAAGACAAATGTGAAATTGAAAGTCCTAGGCATTAAATAAGATCGTCTTGAAATTTTGTGATACATAACACTAAATATAAGATTTTCTTTTTCCATTTCAAAAAAATAGACGAGACTTCCTTTTTAACCGTAGAATAATATTTTTGGACAGAATTCCAGATTCCTGAGACTCTAAGGTCACTCTTTGTTTAAGGGTTCCACCGTAACCTATATCAGAAGTATCTGTTTCTACGTCCATAAAGGCTTCTCGGTTAGAAATTCCTAGGCATGGAAGGTTTGAACTAAATCTTTAATTTGGATGACCGACTGAGTTTGTTGAGGGCTCCAAGGGACAGGATTCTTCCTAAGTCTTTTATATAAAGGTTCACAGATTTGTCTAATATTGGGAATAAAATCTACTACATAGTTAAGACTTCCTAAGAATTTTTAAAGCTGAGTCTTATCAGTAATTTCGTTAGGGAATTTAGAAGAGAACTCTATGGCTTTACAAATAGGAATTCTTGATCTCGTGAACAGGTCCATAGAGGTTAAATAAATTAACTGCATTATGGACCATTATAAGTTAAAAATTTTCCTAAATAAATTGGTATAGCATAGGTAAAACTACATGACCAGAATAATATAGTGTTGGAAAACTGTCCGCACGCCGATATCTCTTTACTTTAGGAAATTGCCTCTAGTCCCTCATAGAATTGCACAATGTTGGGAAAACGGCATGACCGCACTAGCAAAATGTGAACATACTCACTGTGGTTGCCAAACCGTTCCATCTACAAAGCATACCTCTCTCCCAAAAACCCACACCATCCATGGTACCAATCCAAAAAACTGAAGCAACTAAAATTACAGAGGCCATAACTCCTCCGACAGACAGATACACTAATAACCCTAAGTTTCTTTGCCAAGTTATTGGTAATATAATTAAACCAACTATAATTACAAAGGGTTTTCTTCAATCAAGTTTAAGGCCACCAACATGGAAATTTGGAAATTGTTTATGCAAATTATCACCCTCTAATATGAGGAATTCAATTGCATTTAGGTATAATTCAAGATACATAAATATTGATATTATCACTCTCCTGTTTTCCCCAAAGGCTAATTGGCCAATGTCCGGATACGTCATGATTAGTGTTGGAGCAGCATTCATACACTTTTGTAACAGAAATCCCGTATAACAACACACAGCTGCTACCGAGATAAGAACTATTAAACTCAACCATCCTCCATGCGAGAGTGCATAATGGATATCAGTCTAACACTTATGAAATAACAACCCAGTATAATCCCAGTAGTGGGGTCTGGAGAGGGTAGTGTGTACGCAGACATTACCCCTACCCTGGATAGAGAGGTTGTTTCCGATAGACCCTCGGCTCCCTCCCTTCAAGAACTCCCCACCTTGCTATTGGGGTGACTCGAACTCACAACCTCTTGGTTGGGAGTGGAGGGTGCTCACCACTAGAGCAACCCACTCTTGTCAGTCCAACACTTATGAAAGGATGTAAGAAAAAAAAAGAGTTTCAGTCTAATACACCGACAACATTGTCAAAAGGGGAAAAAGTAATCATAGTAAAAATAAATTCCAAATATTCATACAAGAAACCAAGTACTACTTCTTTCTTAAAAATAATGGCATTAACCTGATAATGCATTTATGCCGTTGAAGCATGTTATGAAGAAAGATGTTCCACCATTAGGTTTCAAAAGTTGTGGGCGCGGATTTTGACTCTCAATCCCCATATTTGTGTTAGTTTTTCTACTTGATATTACTCTCAATTCTCTCTGGACAATAGAAGAAGTCTTGTCTGTAGATATTTCACACACAACGTTAACAATAGGAAAGAAGAAAAGAGTACAAATGGGGAGTCTTATATAGAAGATGCCTCTTCTATGGGGAATGAGGAGTCTTATATAGAAGATGCCTTTGAATCTTAGGCTTACAAGTGGAAGGTCTAGATCTGACCGACAGAATTAAAGGCCTAACATGTGGCCGACAAATACTTTTTATAAAGTAAAGTGGGGTAGTTACTTTTAATAAAGTATTGCTGAAAGGATATGATTCCTTTTTAATGATGACCTTTGGCCGACTTTAGTGACCGTCATTTTTTGGATTCCTTTTAAGAATAGTAGAGTGCCTTTTGGAAAAGTAATTCCGGTTCTTTGAACCTCTACTTTTTTCAAGGGTTATTTCCCTATTCTTAATAGGGGTCCAAATAGGTGGCTGCTATCCCTTGTGGGTCAAGCATATCTCCATTGTTGTTGTTTCCTGATGGAGCTGCATAACGAGTTCTTCATCTAGATTTTCTTCATTATCCATATCTTCTAAAGCCTTTTTTAGCTTTTGTTTTAAAGCTTGCTTAGAAGGGGATGCTCGGTTGGGAGTAGGAGGTGAAGCCTCTTTAAGAGGTTTGTTGACCGTCTTGGGAGTCATCTCTTTGGATAAATATGTATAAATATCGAGCGAAATCGAATTCTTTAAGTGGTTTGAAATATCCGGCAAACTCGATAATCAAAAGGATTCTCTTCAAGTCCTTGTCAACAAGTGGTATACAACCACTAATAAAGTTATTGAGTCTGTCACTCCTTCTCTCGAAGGGATAAAAATCCCAGTTTCCAATATCGTTATTCCTGCTTCTCCTTTTAAAACCAAAAGTGATAAGCCTTCTGCCATAGTTTCTTGTTCATACGTTGACCGTGTCATCGAACAAAATAACTATACATCAATGAGTATGGCTTGGCTAAATGTGGATATTTTATTTATTAAATTAATGGGTATGACTTGGCTGATAAATCAATGAGCTTTGACTTTTTAATTTTCATTACATATTTTATTAAGCATAATTAAGTACATGGACTTGAGATTTGTTCAAAATAATGTTACTGACAAATTTAATAATGCTAGTTATATATCTTGAAAATTAATATTAAGAAAAAAATAATGTACGAATATATTATAAAAATAATAAGTAAAATAGTATTAAGTTAGTTTAATTATAAGTAAAATACCTGGGTAAAAGTATACTATATACCATACAATATTAAGGTATTACATAAATGAGAGAATTTATAATGTCAAGGGCATAACAGATTTTTTAGGTGAAATATTTGTAAAATTTGGTCAAAGTGATTATTGTGATAACAAGAGCATAGTAAAATAATTTTTGTGATACAAAAGAAAGAATAACTTTAGGTAATTAACACAAAATTGAATGACTTTTACGTAACAAAAGAAAAAAAAATAACTTTTGGATAATGACCACAAAGTTGAATGACCACCCACCTAAACTAAGTACTAGTCATTAACGAGCAATAATAAAAATAGCTATTTTGGAGAGCAAATATCAAAGCCTGATTTTGCACTACGTTTGCATTCATAACTCAAATTAATTAACTTCCGTTTGTGGAAGCTCAAGATAAATTGGGGTTTGGCCTTCTTCACTGCTCTAACTTTGTTGCATCAAGGTAATCACTGATTATCAATTTACTTCACTGATCTATACTACGAAGCTTCATCTCCGCTCCTGATTTGGTTGGCATTTGTGTTTTAGAGAAAAAATTTGTTTGACGTTGCCCTATTTCAGATTTACATAGTTGCTCAACCTTCTGAAATGAGAGACGAACAACAGAACAAGGATAGAGGGAGGATGGTTGATCTGTGGTTACCGCCAATATACGCCTGGTATGATTACTATTCAGCTTGAGAATCTCTTCTCTACTGGGAAAAAATGAAGTGCAAATATATATTTTTGTGCAGTTCTTTCCCTTTCTCTCCTCTTTTTTATTTTCAAAATGCGATTATTAATAGTAATCATTGAATTGGACTATGCACCCAAGTGTTTGATGATATATTGTTTTTAGTGAAGTCGACAATTTTTATTTCCGACTAGCCGTTAGGGGATTTCTCCTTTCTGATACTCGAGAGTGTAATTAGCTACTCCTCATGCTTCTTTACTTGGAATTTTTTTTTATTAGTGAATTTGTGTTTCACTTGTGCAGATACGTTGTATTCTCATTTACTTTGCATTACTCTAAATAGGTACAACTGTTTTTGTTTTTCATATTTCATGGATTTGTGTTTTTCATTGTGGGGATGCTTCATTTTTTCACAATTCTATTTATTAATGAAAAAAACATAGATCTCTCACAGTAGAGTTTAAGATTGCTTTAGATGTAGGGGACAATTTTAAGATTTTCAAGTAGTCCAAATTAATGTAGATATAGTAGAGACAATTTCAAGATTTTCAGGTAATCCAAAGATACCTCAAATCCTTACAAATTGCCTATTCTTAAAGATTGGTATTTTAATATTTGAAAAAGCAATATCAGTTGCACTGCCTTCCTTAGCTCTTCAGATCTACAAGTCCCAAGCTTTGTTTTAAGGGAAAGGACCACTTAAACTATCCTGCTGGTTTATAGTGGAAGCATCTAAAATGTCAAGTGTTGTATCTTCTGCAGATTCCAGTAGCATCACAAATCCATTTACTATGTCTTCAGTTGAAAAAATCTCAATATGAAGTGCAGAAAGCAAAACAGATGCCATTTCCTTTTTCTTGTTTTTCCTTGCTACGGCCGTAATAGATGATGTCCTTGTTCCACTGAGTTTAGAAGAGATATCAAACAGGCTGCCACCAAATTGCAGCAGTGGATTGGAGACCGTCTACTGGTCGATCACTTCTACCTGCACGTCATGCTGGAGAAAGAATCCTGAGGTGTTGGGGTGGTGGGACTGGATGGCTGTGGAGGATGCTAAGGATAAGATACAAAAGCTCCTTGAGGAATTTGAAAGTAGTGGTGTTCTCAGTGAAGCTTGCCAGTGCATACGAGATCTCGGAATGCCATTCTTCAATCATGAGGTAGTGAAGAAAGCGTTGGTTATGGCAATCGAGAAGAAGAAAGATAGGATGCTGGATTTTGCTGCAAGTGTGCTTTAATGAGGGGCTTATCACCATCAACCAGATGACTAAAGGCTTTGGGAGGATCAAGAATTGGCTTGATGATCTGGTTCTTGACATTCCGAAAGCAAAGGATAAATTCACGTTTTATGTGGAGCATGCTCAAGAAAGAAGCTGGTTGTTACCGTCCTTTGGGTTATCTGATGATGCATCTTAAATGAGAAGATCATATACATTAGCTTGTTACATCTCTGTTTGTTGTTCGTTGATGCCTTCTCTAAGTAGCTCGTGCCGTTTTGTTGGAACTGGTGGATAGACACGGACTGTCCGGTCCTTCCTAATAACACTTTCTTTTAAGTTTCTTGTATGATGGATATTTGTTGATGTAAAATTTAGCCCTCTTGTTCATCTAATTTTGTGGTAAACACATACTGCATTTCCCTTAATGTCTTTCATAAGGGTGTTAGTACAGATTATTAAAAATAATCCTGCATTTCCTGAAGTTTAATCATTTTTTGGTCAATTCTACAATATTTACTTGCTTAATGCCATTTGCTTGTTGATACTTGATACTTTATGGAGAAATAGAAGTAAAATTATATGATCATTTACAGCTGCAAGCACATTTTGATTGTCCAGACATGGTAGCTACCTGGTTGTAATTGTTACTTGTGATTGACTGGATATTGGTAGCTTTATACATTCATTTTACGGAAAAGGTCCAAATATGTCCTTATATTATACGAAATTGAGCATATTTGCCCTTCGTTAATACTTTAGCTCAAATATACCCTTACCGTCACATAGTTGGTTCATATATGCCTTTAGAGTTTCACAGTAGGCCCATATATGCCCTTTTCGAATCGGAATCCACCCAAACTAATTAGCTCTTTCATTAATGGTATTAAAGTGTATTACAAACACTATTTCCTTTTTATTAGTACTTTTTTTTCTTTACCTTTCTCTTTTCTTTCATCTTTTTTCTTTTCTTCTCTTTTTTTTCCCTTTTTCTTTCTCCCTTATCCGATTTTCTCCATTACTGATGTCTTCTCCATTTTCATCACCAATTTCACTTGACAAAACTCATAAATTTCAATTACTAAGAAAATTCTCCCATAAGAATATTTTTATAGATAATATGTTTTTCAATTTTTTAATTTTTACTGAACATATATTTAGTTCTAAAAAATTTAACAAAGTAAGATTGAAATAATATTTATGTAACAAAAAATCCGAAAATCCAACAAAATCGAACAATCCAAACCGATATAATTGGTTTGGTTTGATTTTGATAAAAAATCGAACCAACCCGTTCCATGTACACCCTTAATTTGCATAGTTAATAAAGAAAATAGAAAATGTCCAGCTGAAAAAGACTAACAACTCAAATTTATAACACTACAACTTGAACTTTAGGATTTTAATCATTAAATTATCTTTCTGGAAATAATTTAAATATTTTGGTCTTTTGAGTATTGTTAAAGGTTGAGATATTTTTATTATTTTAAAGTTTAAACCATGATTTTTGAAATAATTTAATTTTATTTATTTAGAGGGCCAGTGAAATTGGAACTTGATTACCTTATGGGAGAATTTTCTTAGTAATTGGAATTTATGAGTTTTGTCAAGTGAAATTGGTGATAAAAATGGAGAAAACATCAGTAATGGAGGAAATCGGATAAGGGAGAAAGAAAAAGGAAAAAAAAAGAGAAGAAAAGAAAAAAGATGAAATAAAAGAGAAAGATAAAGAAAAAAAAGTACTAATAAAAAAGAAATAGTGTTTGTAATACACTTTAATACAATTAAAGAAAGAGCTAATTAGTTTGGGTGAATTCCGTTTCGAAAAGGGCATATATGGGCTAACTGTGTAACTCTAAGGGCATATATGGACCAGCTATGTGAAGGTAAGGGCATATTTGAGCTAAAGTATTAACGAAGGGCAAATGTGCTCAATTTCGTATAGTATAAGGGCATATTTGGTCCTTTGCCCTTCTTTTTATGTGCAAATATTGTACCATCTTATCATTTTGTATGATGTATCGAAAAACCTACTGGTTATGATAATAATCAGTTGAAATATTCAATAATTCATACAATGCATGGTTCCTCTGATCTACTTTATCAATTTTCTTTTTTGTGGATCTTATAACTTTTCGCCAAGAGTTTTTTTTGAGTACTAATTAAATTTACTGAATACTTTTGTCCCTAAATACTACAAATTTGATTCCATTCATAGATCTGTTTTATTAACTTCTGATGATGTTAATCGGATCAATATCATTAATAATAATTTTAAATTATCAAATTCATTTTGTCATCGATAATTGGCTTTCACCTAAATGGTTTCAACTTCAACCTATCTGTAGTAGATCGTGAAGATCGTGTTCTCGAGTTTTTGAATCGAGCTAGGGGTGGACATAGTTTGGGCAAACCCCAAATCCAAACCGAAATAAGAATTTTTTGGATTTTTGGTTTAGATTTTCGGATTACGGCTTGAATTTCAGATTTAATTTTTAAATTTTTTGGATTTCGGATTGGATGTTAGATTTGGTTGCCACGACCCAAAATCCCTCCGAAGGAGTCGTGATGGAACCTAATCTCTAAAACTAGGTAAGCCTAACACATACCGAAATGGTAACATGTTCTACTAAACAACTATTAAACATGAACAAAAAATTTCTAAATAAGCCAATAATCTCAACATGATACAATATCCCAAAACCGGTAGTACAAGTGATAAGCCTTTCTAAGAGTAACTATATATAATGATTACATCACTGTTCCGGAATAATAGGAAACAATAGAAATAAATACAACAGAACGTGACTTCGGAGCTTGCGAACGTCCAACAGGTGTACCTTGAAGTCTCCAGCCGCGCAAGCATAAGTCTCAAAACCAACTCGATCTGAAGTACATGGTTTTTCACAGAAATGTGCAGAAACGTAGCATGTGTACACCACAGTGGTAACAGTAAGTATCAAGCCTAACATCGGTAGAGTAGTGACGAGGTCAGGTCAGGACACCTACCAGATATGTAAACCTGTATTCCAAATTACAATCAACAGTGAAAATAATGGGAGCACGAATAGCAATGAGAAACAACCAAATACTTAAGCAACAACACAACCGGGTTACAAGTGAGATATGAGTGTATCCAAGCAAGGGATATCGATGATAACTCAATCAATCAAATTATTTTAATGCACGAATTTCAACAAGCATTATCCCAGATACCACTTCTCATAATCTCAGATCATTTGTCCCAATATCCAAACTATACACACAAGGCACCCTATGCCCACATTTTCCAAATCACTTCTGTACGGCAAAATTCACGTGCTACCCGGTACATAGTATCTGTGTCAAAGGATAATTAAGATGTTCGAGAGATTTATTTATATACCATAAAGCAAAATTTCAGTTTCTGAACCAAGTAGGAAATCAATGAGAAAATGAGTTTATTTTAAAAATTATTTGGGTGAAGAAAACAACATTTTCAAATAAAATAAAGCATCGTATAAGCATTTAATATAGAATTTACTAAATTAAAACATAATAATAATTTGTTTTAAGTAAAGTAAAAACATCATACACGACAAGGAGATTAAGTTGAGAAATTAATTAAAGTGAAATATGACAAATATTAAAAGTAGTAAAGTATCGAATGAAACAACGAGTTTTAACTTGAGAGTCACATAAGGTAAGCATGTTAATAGTTCTTTTATTTAAAACTGTTACGTTACCAACAACCCAATAGGGTATGAGACAATGACTCAACGTACTAAATTCATCTTGAAAATCAATTCACCAAAATAATAGTAATATGAAAGGAAAACAGGTGTCACGACCCAAAATCTGCATGTCGTTGTCACGACCCAAAACTCTCACCTATTGTGATGACACCTATCTCAATACTAGGCAAACTGATAACATCAATAACCCACGGTTTCCTTTAAGTTTGAAAACATTATATTTAAATACAATACAAAACAAATCTCGCAAATACCGATACAAGCACTCCCAAAACCCGGTGTCACTGAGTACATGAGCATCTATACATTAAAAGTCTGAAAAACACGGTCTATAATAGTCTGAGACCAAATATAGTAAGCAAGGAGTTAGGGAAGGAGATACAAGGTCTGCGAAACACATCAACTACCTCGAAATCTCCGTAAAAATCAACCGTGTGAAAGCATTAACACCCACTATGTTCGAGAGCACCTGGATCCGCACACGAAGTGCAGGGTGTAGTATGAGTACAACCACCTCAGTAAGTCCAATTACAGTAATTTCCAACATAAGAAAGTAGGCATGCTTGCAACTTTAACAACTAAGGCCCAATCAACAATTTCATATCAAGTTCAACTGAAACAGGAGATAATATCTCTCAGAAATTTCCAACACAGTGATATATGACAACTGTAGTACAATAAGAATGAAATCAAATGCGTCCTCTCAGGACCACAATCACTCAGCTCATCCACTCGCTCAACACTCAACACTCAACACTCACCACTCAACACTTGCACTTAGTAAGTACATGCGCTCACTGGGGGTGTACAGACTCCGGATGGGCTTCTTCAGCCCAAGCGCTATAATCCGCATGGACAACTCACGTGCTGTACGGACAACTCACGTGCTATATTATAATATCTCACAATCAGGCCCTCGGCCTCACTCAGTCATAAATCTCTCCAGTCTCTCGGGCTCTCAATAATCATGAAACTCAGCCCCAACAGAAATGATATCATGTATTAACAAGGAGCAACAAAGACTGAGATAAAATAAATAAGTAAACTGTGACTAAGTACAAAATAATAATTTAGCAGATAATTCAATATGTGTACGACCTCTGTGGGTCCCTATAGTGCCAACACATAATCTAAATATGATTTGTGGTTTAATTTCTCTACTGCATGGAGAATGTACAGATACAAACAGATTATTCAACTTTACAGTTCCATAAAATTTGACCAAGTCACAATTCCTACGGTGCACGCCCACACGCCCGTCACCTAGCATGTGTGTCACCTAAAAACCAATCACATAATAAATAATCCGGGTTTTCATACCCTCATAATCAAATTTATAATTGTTACTTACCTCAAACCATGTAATGTCTTACTCCGCTATGTCTTTGCCTTGTGAATTGGTCTCCAAACGCCTCGAATCTAGCCACAAATAATCCGATTCAATCAATAAAATTTATAAGAATTAATTCCATATGAAAATACAAATTTTTCATAAAAATCCAATATTTCACCCAAACATCGCCCGTGGGGCCCATGTATCGAAACACGACAAAAGTCACAAAATTCGAAAGCCTATTCAACCACGAGTCTACCTATACCAATTTTATCAAATTCCGATACCAACTCGATCCTCAAATCTTCAAATTAAACCAAGAGGAGTTTCAAATTTTTTTAACTTAATTCACCAA